AATCTGAAACTGACACAAGGTAGGAAATGGAATGCTATGAAATACCATTTGGGTTGTTTTTTTTGGGGGGGGGGGTCCAGTCGTGGGGCCTGAACTCTGGGCCTGGGCTGTCCTTCAAGGCTAGCGCTCTACCACTTGAGCCACAGCGCCACTTCCGGCTTTTTTCTTTTTTGCTAATGTGCTGAGGAATCGAACCCAGGGCCTCAGGCATGCAAGGCAAGCGCTCTACCACTGAGCCACCTTCCCAGCCCTTGGGTTTTGTTTTGATGCTGTGTGAAAACCAGGGCCTTACACATGTTAAACAGGTGTTCTACCACTAAGTTACACTGTCAGCCTGGAAATATTGTATGTTTAGATAGGTCAATTGGATTAGATGCTACATTTACTGAGTATTATTTCCTTTTGAAATGGGGATGCAGTGTTTATGATCAAATAATTCTCAGAAGTTCACTGTAAGCCTGGTGCTGGTGGCTTATGCCTGTAATCTAGCTACTCAGGAGGCTGAGATCTAAGGATGGTGATTCAAAGCCATCTTGGGCAGGAAAGTCCATGAGACTCTTATCTCCAATTAACCACCAGAAAACCAGAAATGGTGCTATGGCTCAAATAGTAGAGTGCTCACCTTGAGCTGAAGAACTCAGGGATAGTGCCCAGGCCCAGAGTTCAAGCTCAAGACCAACTAATCAACAAACAAAAGAACACTGCATCAGTGATTTGTTATATAAAGCATAATTAGAGACTTGGAGTTTGTCTATAAAAAGAATTTTTTTTTTTCAAAGACTTAGCAAAAACATTTTTTTAAAGAAGGTAATCAGTTTGATAGGCTGCCAATTGAGACTATCTCTACGGAATTTTTTATAACAAATAGAATAGTTACTTTTGAATAGCCTCTCCTGTTTAGGGATGTTGCATTTTCACAGTTGACCTCCCTAAGTTCCACTGACAGTCTTAATCAAGTAATTGTAGGAATTAAGGTATACTTGAGTGTTTCATTTTCTTAAATCTGATAACAGTCCCAACCTGAAAACCAATGATGTTATAAATGTTGTTTTTACAGCTTAATAAGAGGACTTGTTTTGGATCATGGGGCACGGCATCCTGACATGAAGAAAAGGGTAGAAAATGCATACATCCTTACATGCAATGTGTCATTAGAATATGAAAAAACGTAAGTTCATACCCTCTGAAATGGAGTAGACTATGGAAGGGGAGGGGGCCGCACATGCCAGTCCTGAAGCTTGAGCCTCAGGGCCTGGGTGCTGTCCCAGAGCTTTTTCTTTTTTTTTTTTTTTTTTTTGTCGGTTGTGGGGCTTGAACTCTGGGCCTGGGCGCTGTCCCTCAGCTCTTCAGTTAAAGGTGAGCGCTCTACCACTTGAGCTACAGCGCCACTTCCGGTTTTCTGGTGGTTTATTGGAGATAGGAGTCTCACGGTCTCTCCTGCCCGGGCTGGCTTTGAACCGCGATCCTCAGATCTCAGCCTTCTGAGTAGCTAGGATTACAGGCGTGAGCCACCAGCGCCCGGCTTCCCAGAGCTTTTTCCACAAGGCTAGCACTCTGCCACTTGACCATAGCTCCACATCCAGCTCTTTGGTGTTTAATTGAAGATGAGATTCCCTCAGATATTTCCTGCCTGGGCTTGGCTTCAAACATTGATCCTCAGATTTCAGCCTCTTAAGTAGCTGGGATTACTGGTGCCTGGCTACCAGTTATCTTTTGGCTAATTCTGGAACTAAATTTTGGTGGTTTGTACTCTTACTTAGCTTTTGTGCTCAGTTTGCGGGGGGGGGGGGGGGGGGGGGGGGTTGCCAGTCCTGGGGCTTGAACTCAGGGCTTGGGCACTGTCTCTGAGCTTCTTTTGCTCAAGGCTAGCACTCTACCATTTGAGCCACTGCACCACTCTCTACCATTTGAGCCACTGCACCACTTCCAGCCTTTTCTGTGTATGTGATACTGAGGAATTGAACTCAGGACTTCATGCATGCTAGTCAAGCACTCACTAAGCCACATTGCCAGCCAATACAGTTTGCAGTTTTTGTCACTTAAGTTAAAACTCCAGCTCAGCATTTTGCTATGTATTAGAGATATAGTCTCACGGACTTCTCTTCCTAGGCTGGCTTTGAACCTCAATCCTACAGATTTCAGTCTTTTGAGTAGCTAGGCTTATAGGTGTTAAGCCACCATCATCCAACTGCAAGTCTTTTTTTTTTTGCCAGTCCTAGGACTTGAGCCACAGTGCCACTTCCTGCTTTTTCTGCACATACGTTGCAAGGAATCAAACCCAGGGTTTCATGCTTAACATTTATTTTTGCTTCTGTAAGGATGATAGTTTGCCTCAGTTTTGCTTTTATGGAAAACAACCTCTTAAAATGTACAACTGCCAGGCATTGGTGGCTCACGCCTATAACCCTAGCTACTCAGGAGGTTGAGATCTGAGGATCGCAGTTCAAAGCCAGCCCGGGCAAGAAAGTCCATGAGACTCTTATCTCTAATAAACCACTCAGAAAACCAAAAGTGGCGCTGTGGCTCAATTGGTAGAGCGCTAGCCTTGAGCTGAAGAGCTGAGGGACAGCGCCCAGGCCCAGAGTTCAAGCCCCATGACCAGCAAAAAAATATATAAAACAAAAAGGTACAAATAGCTCAGTTTCTCAGCTCCATAATAAAGTTTTCCCCCTTTGTGTAATTTTTTTTTTTAACAGAGAAGTGAGTTCTGGCTTTTTCTACAAGAGTGCAGAAGAGAGAGAAAAACTAGTAAAAGCTGAAAGAAAATTTATTGAAGATAAAGTTAAAAAAGTCATAGAGCTGAAAAGGAAAGTTTGTGGAGATTCAGATAAAGGGTTTATTGTTATTAACCAGAAGGTAAGAATGAAAATCAAACTTAGAAACTAGTCTGTTTTATTTTTTCAGGTGAAAGATAGTAAAAATAATTTTGTTTCAATTATAGGGAATTGACCCATTTTCCTTAGATGCTTTTGCAAAAGAAGGCATAGTCGCTCTGCGTAGAGCTAAAAGAAGAAATATGGAGAGGTATGGTCAGATTGTCTGGTAATGTGAATTTTACCTACTTTGTAAGTAAATTAAGATTGTTTCTTTTTTATTTTTTCATCTACTTTTGCTTTTGTTTTCTTTGTCTCTGTAGCCCAGTTTGATCTGGGACTATATTAAGATTATTGTGCCACCATTACCACTATTCATCTTCAGGGTTTTTCGTCTCTACAACTACTCATTCTCTTCTCAGTATTTCACATTAGTGGGGTTTCACAGTTCTTTTTTAATTGTCAAGGTGATTACAGAGGGGTTTGTACATTTGTACATTTCTTGTCAACTTTGTTACCCCTTCCCTCAATTTTCTCCTACTTTCCCTCCTTTGTAAACCCCCCCACCTCCATTTGACAGATCGTTTCCAATGTATTGTCTTGTATACATCGCTGTTGCTTTGGTTCCCCCTTGTCACATTCTTCTCATCCATTACATCTGGCCTACGAAACATAATGTCCATGTTATAACATGTATCAAAATCTCATTCCTTTGTAAGGCTGAAAATATTCCTTTGTGGGTAGGTATCACATTTTGTTTAGTTATCTGTCAGACATTTCTGTGGTTCCTACATTTTGGCTATATAAATAATTTTGATCATTTCTATATACTTGTTTTAATTTAAAGCCATGACATACACTACTGACTTTTTCTTGTCTAGAGGCAACATTAAGCCAGGGACTGGTGACTCAGCCTATAATCCTAGCTATTCAGGAGGCCAGCCCAGGCAGCCAAATCTGAGAGACTCTTCAATTAATCAGCAAAAGTCAGAGCTAGAGGTATAGCTCAAAGGGTAAATTGCCAACTATGAAGGAAGAAGCAGGTTGAAGAATGATCTCCCACTCATTGGTGGGTAGAAAGGTTTAGGTTGGAATTTTAGAATATAATTCAGTTACATAATTGTGAAAACTTTCTGAAATTTGTTCTTATTGAACATAACATTGCTAATACATCTCAAAAAACATTTTAATATTTCAGATTGATTCTTGCTTGTGGTGGAGTAGCTCTAAATTCTTTTGATGACCTAAATCCTGACTGTTTGGGACATGCAGGACTTGTCTATGAGTATACTTTGGTAGGTGTATTTTATTTCTAAACCTAATAGTACTTATTGTTCATGAATTCTTTAGTAGGAAAATTCAAACTCAGGATCAATCTTGTTTATGTAAATGTGATAGTTTATGTGTAATAATGACAAGCCATTGACATAAGAAAGCCACGTTTCTTTGGTATGTGTGTCCCCCCACCACGTTGGTCGTGGGGCTTGAACTCTGGCCTGAGCGATGTCCAGCAGCTCTTCAGTTCAAGGCTGGCATTCTACCACTTGAGTTACTGCGCTATTTCCGGTTTTCTCGTGGTTTATTGGAGATAAGAGTTTCACCGACTTTCTTGCCCAGGCTGACTTTGACCGCAATCCTCAAATCTCAGCCTCTATATGTTGGTTTTTTAAGCCAAGATTTGCTTTAATAAAGTCAGTATTTTTCTCTACTGACACATTACTTGTTCTCTATATATGCCTCTCCTCGGTTCACTTATTGCACAGCCATATCCTATTTCTGAAATAATGTGTCTTCTACATATAGGGAGAAGAGAAGTTCACCTTTATTGAGAAATGTAACAATCCCCGTTCTGTCACATTGTTGGTCAAAGGACCAAATAAGCACACACTCACTCAAATCAAAGATGCAATCAGAGATGGCTTGAGGGCTGTCAAAAATGCTATTGATGATGGTAAGCTGTTTCCTGTATTTTGTTTTTCTTTTTTGTTGGTCACAGTACTTGAACTCTGGGCCTAGGCTCTGTCCTTGAGATCTTCAGCAAGGCAAGTGCTCTACCATTTTGAGCCACAGGGCCATTTCTGGTTTTCTGGTGGTTAATTAGAGATAAGAGTCTCATGGACTTCTTCCTGAATAGCTAGGATGACAGGCATGTACCACTGGCACCTGGCTATGTTCCCTATATAACAGGCATGGCAGAATACTGTGTTCTTTCGTCAATAATTTACACAGCCAGACACCATGCAAAAGTAAATGTTCATTTTAAAATAACTGATGGTATGCTATTTTTACATAGTGTATCATTATTATAAAAGTGAATACAGATAAGTGAACTAATACTAATAGCTCACAAGAGGTACTGTTTGCTGTGTTAGTTACTCATATGTGGCTTTCAGATGTGATTACATGGGTTGTAGGTATGACTAGTGGAGCCCCCTTGCATAGCAAGTATGAGGTAAAACAAGTGAACAAGCAAATGCAGTGCTACATTTAAATGGTTGTGGCCATAGTGAATTTTAAAGTCATGGCTTCCTCATGTGTTTTCATGTATGTATGTTTTCTTTACAGTTGATTTCTGCTGTTATATTTGTTGAGGCTTTAGCATTTCTCTTTTTCTCCCACCCAACAGGCTGTGTGGTTCCAGGCGCTGGTGCAGTGGAAGTAGCAATGGCAGAGGCTCTGATCAAATACAAGCCAAGTGTAAAAGGCAGGGCCCAGCTTGGAGTCCAAGCATTTGCCGATGCATTGCTTATTATTCCCAAGGTATGGATACTTATTTAGTAATCAAATTTCTTTAAACTACACCAAAACAGGGCTGGGAAGGTGGCTCAGTGGTAGAGCGCTTGCCTTGCATGCATGAGGCCCTGGGTTCGATCCTCAGCACCACATAAGCAGAAAAAAAAGCCAGAAGTGGCGCTGTGGCTCAAGTGGTAGAGCGCTAGCCTTGAGGCGAAGAGCTGAGGGACAGTGCCCAGGCCCGGAGTTCAGGCCCACAACTGGACCCAAAAAAATATAAAATAAACTACACCAAAACAATTCAACTGATTCAAAGGTTTATTGATAATACAGTTGTGTTTTCTTTTGCCATGATGAGGGTTTGGAGTAAGCAGATTTGATCCATTTCCTCCTTTTCTGGGATACTTGAATCTCTTTCAAGTTTCTTGAAGAAAGAGATAACTTAAGAGTACTGGCCAGTGTACTGTAGCCCATGCCTATAATCCCAGCACTCATGTTGGCACTGGCCTGGAGACCTTGTCTTATGGAAAAGATGTGTAGGAGTTAGATATCTGTGCAGCTTGTTCTTTGTCCTTTAGCTCAGCTGCCAAACAATCATTCTCTATTATGTCCCCATCAAAGGTTAATTTTAGTGTATTAGCAGTGTATTGGTGGGTTTGGTAATTTTAAGTCTCACGGGCCTTGGCTCGTTTTTTTTGAGGGGGGGGTGGCTCCCGTTGTGGGGCCTGAACTTTGGGCGTGGGCACGGTCCCTCAGCTCTTCAACTCAAGGCTAACACTCTACCACTTGAGCCACAGCGCCACTTCCGGCTTTTTTCTTTTTGCTTATGTGGTGCTGAGGATTCGAACCCAGGGCCTCGAGCATGCAAGGCAAGCGCTCTACCACTGAGCCACCTTCCCAGCCCCCTTGGCTGGTTTTAAACCATGACTCTCAGATTTCAGCCTCCTGGGTAGCTAAGATTATAACTGAGCTTTTGGCATCCTGCATGTTTTCATTAATTTTTGGAGAAAAAAATTGGAAATAATTTCATTCTCAATTCTTAGTTTTTATCTTCTCCACAATGAATTTGTTTAGGTTCTTGCTCAGAACTCTGGTTTTGACCTTCAAGAAACATTAGTTAAAATACAAGCAGAACATTCAGAATCTGGTCAACTTGTGGGTGTGGACTTGAACACAGGTAAGAGAATACAGCTGTTTGTACTGGGAGAAATAGACTATAAATGAGATAAAGCTAGGAAAGATTAAAAGAATAGTGATACATTGTTTTCAGTTTGGTACTGTATTATCAGAAACTCTAGGCGTCTTGAAGTAAAATATAATATAGCAGTGAAATGATCATGTCATAGACTTATGATACCATATTAGAAATTCTGGTTAGGATGTAGCTCAGTGGCAGAGAGCTTGCTTATTAGCAGGCGCAGCATCCTGGGTTTAATCCCCAGTACCAAAAAAGAGACAAAATAGTTTTGCCAGGCGCCAGTGGCTCTCACCAGTAATCCTAGCTAGTTACTCAGAAGGCTGAGATCTGGGGAACACAGTCTATACAGGAAAGTCCATGAGACTTTTTTTAAAATCATTGTGGGGCTTGAATTCTGGGCCTGGGCATTGCCCCTGAGCTCTTCAGCTCAAGGCTAGTGCTCTACCACTTGAGCCACAGTGCCACTTCCGCTTTTCTGGTGGTTAGTTGGAGATAAGAGACTTTCTTGCCTGAGCTGGCTTTGAACCGTGATCCTCAGATCTCAGCCTCCTGAGTGGCTAGTGTTATGGGCATGAGCCACCAATGCACTGATTTTTTTTAAATCAGCTCGTTATAAGATCATTATAGGGGCTGGGAAGGTGGCTCAGTGGTAGAGTGCTTGCCTTGCATGCATGAGGCCCTTGTTTCGATTCCTCAGCACCACATAAGAGAAAAAGCTGGAAGTGGGGCCGAGGCTCAAGTGGTAGAGTGCTAGTCTACAGCTGAAGAGGGAAGGGACAGTGCCCAGGCCCAGAGTTGAGGTCCCACGACCAACAAAAAAAAAAAAAATTAAAGATTATTATATTCACAAGTGGAAAGTATAACACATAATACAAGACAAAGGGGTCTCAGTTTAATGAAATGATTCCCTGTAAGACAGACTATACTTGTACAAAGTGGGAGACTTTTTGTCAGGATTATCATTAAGTCCTCAACACTGTCCTTGAGCTTTTATACTGAAGGCCAACTCGCAGTGCTCTTGCCACTTCAGCCACAGCTCTACTTCTACCTTTTTTGGTGGCTAATTGGAGTTAAGTCTCAAGGGCTTCCCTGCCCAGGCTGGCCTTTGTACAGCGATTCTCAGATTGCAGGCTCCTGAGTAGTGTGGCGCCTGGCTGGAACACTGTTTTTAATAGGGTAAAGAAGAATATATGCAGAGTAAAGATTCAGGAGCCTGTGAGAGAGCACCACCATGGGAAGCTAGGTGTAATAAAGGTTCATCTTTAGTATATGAAATGAATCATGCGTGGTGAGAACAGCAGCTTAAAGTACTGTTACATTTTGGTCTTGATTGGCTTTATTATCTACAATTGATGACATTGATTTGTAAAATAGTGTTATTACTGACAGCATTTGATGCTATGACCGCTACCCTATATGATTTTAAGAATACTTGGTTACCTTTCAGGTGAACCAATGGTAGCAGCAGAGGCAGGCATATGGGATAACTATTGCGTGAAGAAACAGCTTCTTCATTCCTGGTAAGTTTGGGGAAACCAAAACTGAAACATCTTTTAAGGCAGGGCTGGGAACCTTTTCTCTGAATGGGACCCTCTGGTATTTATAACATCATCTGCAGGCCTAGGTTAGTTGAGTTTCAGGTCTGCCTGTGGTTCCTACCTGTTAAGGACTGAGTGTGCCTTCGTTTGGTCTGATCTTAACGCAAATGTACAGACACAGACACACTGTAGAGTATTGAAACTTGAACATAATGTGTGCAGTGTAGATGGAAATGGGAAGTTGGATTGAATTGGGTTTGTTTGAGCCTTCTGATGATTTTTCCCCCCTCAGCACTGTGATTGCCACGAACATTCTACTAGTTGATGAGATCATGCGAGCTGGAATGTCTTCTCTAAAAGGTTGAATGGAAGCCTCCGACATCTGGATCTTGACTGCAGGATGATGCTGAGGATGGAAATGTGGGCCTTTTTTCCAAGCTTCAAATGATGTTCAAAGGAATCTGAAAAGGATACTTAACACCTATTCAAATTATGACATTGTGAAATTGTAGTTACATTATTTTTTAAATTGCACTGAGTGTATCACATAAAGCAGGTCCAGAAAGCAGGATATGTGTTTTGATTTGCAGTGGTGTAAAATTAATATTAGATAAGCATATGTTACCTACCTTGTTTATTAAATATTCCTTGGGAAATATAAATGGTTTAATTTGTGGCTGTATTCTAACCAACAATTTCCTACTAAGCATTTAAGTATTAAACTTTTCAGAAATAAGAGCATCTACAAACTTGATGGCTTTATAAATTACTGGATCTAGCCTGTAATCTTAGCTACTCAGGAGGCTGAGATCTGAGGATTATGTTTCAAAGCCAGCCCAAGCAGGAAAGTCCCTGAGACTTATCTCCCGAAAACCGGAAGTGATGTTGTGGCTCAAAAGTGGTAGAGCGGTAGCCTTGAGCAGAAGAACTACTTAGAGACAGTAGCCAGGTCCTCAGTTCAAGCCCCATGACAAGTAAAGTATCAGATCTTTGGATTTCATGCTTGTGAGAAAAGTGAACTAGAGACAACAGTGCACCATTAGAAATGTAATAGAACAAAATACAGGGGTGGAAAAATGGCAGAAAACATCTAAGGGGGCTGGGTAATGTGTGAAAGTACTGTACAGAGGGGTTACAATTACATGGGCAAGATAATGAGTACATTTCTTATCAAGCATTGTAGCTTCCTCCTTTGTTTTCCCTTCCCATCCTCCCCCCCCCCCCCCCCCCCCCGCCCCCTCCACCCACCCAATCCGCCCCGATATTAGGCCATTTTCAAACCAATTTTTTTTTTTGGTTGGTCATGGGGCTTGAACCCTGAGACAGGGTATTGTCCCTGAGCTCTTCAACTCAAAGCTAGTTCTCTACCACGTGAGCCACAGCACTACTTCTGGTTTTCTGGTGGTTAGCTGGAGATGACTCTCAGACTTCCCTGCCAGGGCAGGCTTTAAATCATAATCCTCAGATCTCAGCCTCCTGAGTAGCTAGGATTACAGCCATGAGCCACCGGCTCCAGTCTTCAAATTATAAATTGACATTTATAAATATGCATCCCGGAATCTAGCGAACACCTCGACTAACGTGCGTTGTCCTTCCGTGAGAGCAATAAACGTTAATGAAACCTGTTTGTGATCTTCCTATGTGGTGGGTGCGCTAAAGCAATGTGACGATGAAGGGTGACATTAGCCTCCTAACAATGAAGCACTTCTTAAGTGTCAGGAACTTGTTTTTGTTTTTTGGGTCCCCTGAACTCGGCCTGGGCGCTGGCCCTCAGCTCTTAAGCTCAAGGCTAGATAGCTCTACCACTTGAGAGCCTGAGCCCACAGCGCCACTAACGGCTTTTTTGTTTTTGCT